GCTGGGGCAGGAGTGTTACGGCGGGCGGCGCTCTTCTTTTTTGCCTGGGGCGGCAAAAAAGTTAGAGCCGGCCCTGGACCAGGGCCCCATGGCACAGGGCCTGCTGGCCCAGTGGCTCATCCGCCACTAGACTCAACACTTCTTTATTGAAATTACCCATTAAACTGTTGCAGAAAAAACAGGGATAACAGCCTCCTACTTATTTTAGTCACATCTTGTAAAATTTGAAGGATGAGGTATAATAAATTAATTTTTTTACAACTATTGAAACCTCATGAAGAGCTGATGATGAAGTACTGATGTGTTGTACTGTGCACTGAAATAATGTTATAAATTGTCACATTTATAGGAAGATTTGCAGACTAGCTTTTCAACATTTTAATCATCCTCTATATTTCTCCCTTTCTTTCTCTGTAATCTTGGGTTTAGGGTTTCAGAGAACTTTGAAAAAGCAGAAGTTAATATACTTGTCACATCCAGGCAGCAGATCAACATTAGGATCCAGAAGAGTTTTATAAATAACTGTGATACCATCCTTTTCAGCTGCAGTCACTTTGTCAAAGGTCAAACTTAGAACACGGTTTAAGGGAGACCTGAAAAATGGAAATAAAATCAAAGCTGACCTTTCTGAAACAAAATCAAACAGCTTCAAAAACAATAATGAGATTATACATACAAAGGCAGTGAACATAATGGAAATGCTGTTGAAAGAACAAAGACAGAAAATATTAAAACCCAGTGCATTTTATATGTCGGAAAGAACATTAGTAAGCTAGTAGCCATGCTCTGGCTTTAGTCTTTTAGTTCAGGTGCTTTCATCTCAGATACTAATTCTCTCCCCAGCCATCTTCTTGTCTTTATTAACCTATAGGTTATGGACAGCAACCAAATTGAATTAGTCTTGCAATATTAGCTCTTCTACTGGAATAAATAACAATTTGGGGAGAAAGAAATCAGTATTATGATCAGCACCCAGGTAATCATCTAAGGATAATTGAAGAACACAGCTACCACTCTGAAACCTGAAAACTGTAGATTAATGTTCATGAACAATAACAAAATAATATAAATATATTTTGATAAAACAGAGACAAATTATGTATTATTTTGTCAAAATACAATCATAAATACTAGTTTGTTTAATTAGCTGAACCTTGATGGGAGAAATCCAGTGAGGTCTGTGATCAATAGATCAACCTTTAAACTGATATATTCCTTTATAGGTCTCATAGTTGTAACCAACATTACATTAAAATCTAATAAAGCATGAATATTTTACACATTTATACTCTTATTAATAAAGTTTCTTTTAAAGGCACACAGTCAACTTTTAAAATCCTATTTCCATATTAATATTTTTACTTACAAGTAACAGCTAGAATAAGTAAATTGAAATAAATTAGAGATAAATATATTTTCTCTCTTTCTTTTCTAATTTGTTTACTTTGTGCATTTGATAGCACTTTTGTATATTCATAGCAGCAACAAAGAAAAAAACACATTCAGATAATCAGAGATCCTAGCTAAGGGTCTGTGGTTTGTATGGGTTTTTTTTTAATGTAAGAGGTATTCAGAGGGCAGGTCAAATTCACTAAAATGCTTTTATTTCATTTTGGTGAAATTAGCCAGTTGTGAGTTGTCAATGTCACTTTAAACAAAGAAAACAGTAACACGCTGAACAACAATTCTAAAAATGTGTCAAAACACACGTATAACGAAATGTATGTTATTTGCATATTCTCCTACTCTGCTTTTGAGGGAAGCAGGAGTTTGAGAAATTAGAAAAAGCAAAATTATTTTTAAAATCAGACCAATATAAATTTCAATTATTTATCATGTTGTAGTTTATTATCCATTGTTATTGAAATTATTAAATACTCTACTCCATTAACTTAAAGCTGGCAATTTGAAGATGTATAAAAGAATGGCTAAGAGAAGCCATTTTCTGGAACATTCACTAAAAACAATGGTTGTATTTTCTGTTTATTCCAAGAATGACCCCAGTGACAAGTTATCAGTTTTGGGTGAAACAGTTATATACAAGAATTATTTGTACAGAAATTTAATCTGTCATAATACAGAGGAAAAGTGAAATGTCATCAATAAACTACTCAATTACTTTTTCAGATTGCGCTGTACATCCAGAGACTTGCCATAAATCTGACATATCCCTGTTCCCAGCAGAGTAGAAGTGTAAAGAATTAGTATTAAAAGAAAAAATAGATTTTTGTTTGCTAAAGGAAAAAGTAGAGAATTTGAATAGGTATTCATCACAAGACTGTATTCTTATCTGCTGCTGAATATGTACAAGTAAATATGAGCTCTATGCAAAACATTACATATGAAGTTTATATTATGTCTTGTATATTTTACAGTTTTCTGACTGCACAGCAAGTTTTATTATTACTATTAATAATGTATTCTATGGCAGAGCCCAAAACCCCAGTCAGAATAGGAGTCTCATTGTGCTAGTGATGGTTCAAGCACAGATGTCAAAGAGAAGAAGATAAACCAACTGCTTCCTTGACAATAATCAATGGAAACAGGAAACTGTTTTAAAAGCTTGTAAAATCATGCTAAAATGCTGGAAATAGCTCATTAAGTTTCAAAATATAAGCCCCCAGAAAATCTCATAATAAAACAGTAAAACAGACTGAAGTATTGATAAATGACTATCTGATGAAGTGGGTTCTAGCCCACAAAAGCTTATACTCAAATAAATTTGTTAGTCTCTAAGGTGCCACAAGGATTCCTCATTTTTTTAATTCAATTATTGACTTCAATGGGAGTTTTGCCTGGATGTGTCTCATAGTGTTTTACCAGTCTGAATACAGGAAATACTTAGCCCAAATAGTTAGAAAATGCCAACAGTAAGTCTGTGTTTTGTAGGATTCTAGATAAATATCATGGCCTTGACTAGCTAAGAATTAGGAGCCAGATCTGAAAATATATTTAGATGCTTAAAGATGTGGATAAGCATCTAATGGGACTCTCAAAAGCACCGAGGCACCTAACTCCCCTTGATTTCAATGGAATTTAGCACCTGAGCACGTCTGATAATCCTGTTATGCACCTAATTGCATCTTTAGGCACCTAAATACCTTTAAAAACATGGCCCTATGTGACTTATTCTCATTTAAAAACAATATTCCAATTAATGTTATTCATTGGATTATTCTAATTTTCTCTTTCTTCTTCTTTATCACTTTGTCCATTTCAAAATAAAAAATATGATGTCACCATAGATTTAATCAAATTATTCACCTTTAATCTGCATCTAAGTAACTACAAAAGGTACTTAGTAAACTATTCAATAATTGCTAGCACTTGGGAAGTTATCACTGATTCCAAGTATGCAGCTTTATTCTAGTCACAATGTAATTAAATTGTCTGAAAGGTTGCTAGTGTTAAAACTCACAATATCTTTAGCAAGTGTTCTGTAAATTATTTGGGCTAAAACATGTTTAAGTACTTTTTATTTAAAAGTCTGTTGAAACCTGGAACAGATTTTCTGCAATGTGTAAAACATGTTGAACATTATCTTCAAATCAGTGTTCCAGGTATTCTTTACACTTCTGAATTTACAGTAAGTTTACTGCATTAACATCACAGCCTCTCACAACTTGGACTTAGTTACGATCAAAATAATTCTCTAGCTCTTGTATTTTTCACAAGCTAATGAACAAAACTGGTTTACTAAACACCATATATTTAAAATTATCTTTCAGCATTTTATTGCTGTATTGATTTGCAATTACCAACCATAATGATTGTTCAGTTCTTCCGAACAAAAATGATCAAAAATCCTAAACTAAATTCTACCTGGTTATAGTTTAACCACAAGAAAGCATCAAATTATATTAACTTAATTGAGAAAGTAATCTTCAATTGCTAATACAGTACAACAATGAGCTTAAGGTCCTTGACAACCAGTTTTAGACATGATCCCAGATGTGTCCTGTCAATATACATAATTTCACAATAATTCAACAAGATCTCAACAGGCTAGCACAGCAGTGAATAAATTTGTACTGCAGCCACTTTTTCCTCAGGAAATAAGATATTTTTTTCTAGGAATTAACAAATCTAAAAACTTAAGGACCCCTCAAACATCTCCAGAAATTATTAGGAGATAACATAACCAAAGTATATCCCTTTTAAAAAACTTTGGTAGGCCAGTCTTTACAAGCTTTACCAATTTATCTTTCACTCTACCATCATTGGTGCTTAAGAGGTTAAGACTTTATTTGTGAAAACAGACAGAGGTAGTGGGGAATCATGTTGTCTACTGCTTCATAAATCTTGCTTAAGATCCTTTTCAATTACCATCCATTTCTCCTTTAAAAAGGGACAAAAAAATAGAGGAGTGGAAACAGGTCAGGGCAGTCTGTGACAATGACAGTGTGATGGGCTTGGACCCCCTGTGGTGTTTCCATCTGCTATCATTAAGGTGACTATTCAGACATGAAAAAATCCCTCTTGCTGTGCTGACAGGCAGACATCAAGAACTATGACAAGGCATTAAGACAGAAAGTCAGAGACAGAGATGTCATATTCCACAAACAATACTGCCTCAAACAAGACCTCTGAAATTTTCTTGGAATTTAAAATAAAAATAAAAGGGGTTTTACCTGAAGGTTATCAAACTTCCTCTTACATTAGTTTGACAACGAAAAGATTGCTGACTGTCACACAGATAAACATTTAGCTCTTACCTGTAATCTTTACCATAAGAAACCCAAATTTTTTGCTCATTCTTCAGTAAAAGTGGGTTTTTAATTTCTTGTCCTTTCTCATCAAAAAGCCGGGTAGGAATAAGATTGAGGCCTGTTGGTTTGAAGTCTGCTGAATATTGTAGTTTTTCGTGAATCATATGCAGCAACTGGCAAGGACAAAGCAAGCAAATAAAGAAACTACAAATGTAAACATCTGTAATAAATTGTTTGTACTCCATAACAAATGAAGTCCAAACAAATGATAATTAAATTCATATAGAATGTTAAAAGAAGTGTGAAATGACTGCAATGTTTATCTCAGTGTAAAATAACAAAATGAGCACAGGCTTTTAACCGGCAGGGGGTGCAACAGGATTATGATTGAGCTCTGACCCTTTGGCACAGAAACTGAAAGCAGATGTGACAGTTGTACAGAACAAGCATTTAGCTTCTACATACTATAACAGCTCTCTTTATAAAGGTTATGTTTTTCCTGCCCACATTTGGAGCTACATTTTGCTCATGTTTTTACTGAGCTTGTTCAAGTTTTACAATGACTGCTCTCCACCCTCCTGCCAAACCATAGGTGATCAATAGCTGAACAATAATATTGCAAGCCTCATTTAACAATTTCTGTACTGTGTCTGTTAACTTGCCCCTGCCAGAATAGCCATAATTAGCACCTCTGTGAATATAAGATTTTTATGTATTGCATTGTTTCTTTTTTAGAAATTGGTTCTCATCTCCATTTCTGAACTTTATTTGATTTTACATGACTGCACTTCGGTCTTCATTTCTGCTATGTAGTCAGGGTCTTTCCAAATTGCTGCACCTTCAAGCTCAGTTCTGCAGCAAACATTACTGGACTGCAAATTCTGTTGGCAATTTCATGGCACAGTGATGGTTCCCCTGAATATTATAGTCACTTCATTCCACTCCCCCTCCCTTTTATCACTCTGCCTACAGAAAAGCACTTTCCCTGCACAGACACTCACATTCTGTGTTCCTTGCCAGTTCCTGCCATTAAACACAACATAGAATTGCTCCTTTAGCACCAATTGGAGACACTAAAGATGCATGCTCATTATGGAGGCAGGCAGGGGAAGCCAGAGCATGAGATAAAAGCTCTCAGTAACTGCTTATGCTTAATACCAAATTATGCATTTAAGCACTTTTTTTTACTTGTCTGATTTGAGTAGGCTGGGGAGAAGGAAGAACTAAAAGTATGTGGCAAATAAGGGGGTGACTAAATACTTGGCAAAGAGTGGACCCTGGTTAATGTACTTGGAGATTTTTGTCAATATTTTCCAAACTTGCACATTGACTAGTTTCACCATCTACTAAAACAGGAAATCCGGCAGTTCAGGTGGGACTTTTAATAGAGGGTAGCTGAGAATTTTTATTGAAAAGATGAAGGAAATCCCATAAGTTTAAAAAACATTTAATTATTGTTTTGAAAACAAACACTTAAATACTTGACAAAAACAGTTTTTTAAATGTAGGTGACTTGTAGCTGAATTATTGACCTGTCTGCCAGTTATCCTTAGGCATAAATGAAATAAGCATCCAGAGATTGATTCTTATTTACACTGAAACTCCTTTTACACAGTTCTGGCATTGTAAAGAGGTCTTAATGTGAGAATAAATTATATTTACACTTAATTTAAGGCCTCTCTACACTGCCAGAGGAATGTAAAGGGTTTTTAGTGTTAATGAGAATAAGGTCTGTAAAGTTTATTATATTTAACTTCTGTCTGCTGTTTTAACGTAAAAGTTTAAAGTTATTCACAGAACTACGGAAAGTGCAGTCTCCTCTGCAAAAACTCATAGGACACATGAACTGGGTGCAGTAGGGGCATTGAAGTCTACAGCATTTAAGCCATTCTTCTAAGGGTACGTCTACACTACCCACCGGATCGGCGGGTAGCGATCGATCTATCGGGGATCGATTTATCGCATGTAGTGTGGACGAGATAAATCGATCCCCGATCGCTCTCCCGTCGACTGCTTAACTCCAGCTCGGCGAGAGGCGGAAGCAAAGTCGACGGGGGAGCGGCGGCCGTCGATCCCATGCCATGAGGACGCGAAGTAAGTGATTCTAAGTCGATCTAAGATACGTCGACTTCAGCTACACTATTCTCGTAGCTGAAGTTGCATATCTTGGATCGATTCCCCCCCACCCCCCCCAGTGTAGAGGAGGCCTAAGAGAAGATGCTGCTCTATCTAGGAGCAATTTGGAGTGGTCTCTGGTTGTGCTGGAGAGGTGATCATTGAGTACAGATAATTTAACATGACAAAATGCATAGACATTGGCATGGACACTTTGCCGTAAGTGTAGATACATAGCCTGTGTGTACAGACACTGCAAGCCTCTTAGCACAGAAATAAATTACAGTGTAGACAGCGAGGCACTGCTTACACAAGAAGAGTAAAGACAGACTCCTCCGCACAGGAGGTAGGATAAATGAGATGAGGGAAGCCACATGATGCATGAAACATGGAAACATACCCTCTCGCCATGCAACGTTGTGCTCTGGGCACATGCCTAAACTACTACTGTGTTATAGGGACATCACATTGGACCCTTTTTAATGCAGCAACTGCACTGGAACCCACCAAAGTTAATACAAATGTTATTTAACCCCCAAAATTGGAATTTCAGGGATGCAGGATGGAAGGTGAAAAAAACCCCCATATAGCAGTTTGCCAATTCTGCATGGGAAAAATCCCTTTCAGATTCCAAACAAAATTCGGTGATCAGCCTAGCTCCCAGCATTATCAATTATCAAAGTTATCAAGCTCACAAGATAAGGAAAGGGTGAAGAGGATAGGTCTGGAACAGAGTCCAAAATGGCTTCTCGACAGCAGCAACAAACAGAACCACCACCTGGCAAGACACAATCAGCTGACCCATCATGGCCCACTGGCCAATGGCAGCAGAAGTGGGCAGAACTGTCTCCATTACCTGGATACCATGTGGCAGAGAGGGAAGGCGGTGGGACTAAGGGAGGGTGGAGGGAAACAAGAAAGAAGTGGCACCTTTCCCCTCACATATACACACTCTGCAGGCCATCAGGAAGGGAAGGAAATGAGGTGAAAATAAGCGCATGCGGTCCAGTACAGCGTACTGGCAAGAGCCGGTATGCCGTGCTGGACCGGACCAGCTTCCCCAGGCTGGTGATTTATAGGGCCCGGGGCTCTTGAAATAAATAAAAAAATAAATAAAATAAATACTACTGAGAATTGTGCAATTATAAGAAACTTTAAATTTCCAGATATAGATTGGAGTACAAGTGCTTACTAATAGTAGGGCCCAGATTTTCTTGGATGTGATAGCTGACAGATTTCTTCACCAAACAGACACCGACCCAACAAGAGTTGATGCCACCTTAGATTTGGTATTGGTGAGTAGTGAAGATCTCATTGAAGAACTGGTTTGTAGGGGACAACCTTGGTTCGAGTGATCAGAGCTAATTCAGTTTAAACTAAATGGAAGGATAAACAACAATAGATCTTCAACTAGGGTCATTGATTTCAAAAGGGCAAACTTAAAAAAATTAAAGGTTTTAGTTAGGGAAGTGGAGTGGACTGAAGAACTCAAGGATCTGAATGTGGAGGAGGCTTGGAATTACTTTTTCAAACTTGCAGGCGGTATCTGAAGTCTGCATCCCAAGCATGGGGAAAAATTCATAGGGAAGGGTTGCAGACCAAGCTGGATGAGCCAGCATCTCAAGGTCATTAAGAGAAAGCAGAAATCCTACGAAGAATAGAAGATGGGATGGATCATGAAGGAAAGCTACCTCTTGGAGGTAGGGAGAAGTGTAGGGGGAAAGTGAGAACTGCCAAAAGCCAAGCAAAGTTGGACCCAGGGGCGGCTCTATGTTTTTTGCCGCCCCCAAGCACGGCAGTCAGGCGGCCTTTGGCGGCGGTCACGCAGATTCAGCGGTGTTTCTGTGGGTGATCTGCCGGTCCCGCGGCTTCGGCGTACCCACCACCGAATTGCAGCCGAAACCGGTTGACTGGCGGACTTCCCGCAGGCACGTCGCCGAAGGCCGCCTGACTGCCGCCCTCACAGCGACCAGCAGGCTGCCCCCCGCAGCTTGCCGCCCCAGGCACGCGCTTGCTGCGCTGGTGCCTGGAGCCGCCCCTGGTTGGACCTAGCAAAGGGAATTAAAACCAATATTAAAAAGTTCTATAGGCATATAAATAAAAAAAACAAAAACAAGGAAAGAAGTTGGGAAACTGCCTACAGTGGCATGTAGCTGATCTGTAACTACTAGTAGCAAATATCCCCAATGGCTGGTGATGGGACACTAGATGGGGAAGGCTCTGAGTTACTACAGAGAATTCTTTCCTAGGTGTCTGATTGTTGGGTCTTGCCAGAATGTGCAGGGTCCAACTGACCACCATATTTGGGGTCAGGAAGGAATTTTCCCATGGATCAGACTGGCAGAGACCCTGTGGGGTTTTTTGCCTTCCTTTGCAGCATGGGGCATAGGTCAATTGCAGGTTTAAACTAGAGTGAATGGTGAATTCTCTGTAACCTGAAGTCTTTAAATCATGAATTGAGAACTTCAGTAACTCTGCCAGAGGTTATGGGTCTATTACAGGAGTGGGTGGGCGAGGTTCTGTGGTCTGCAATGTGCAGGAGGTCAGACTAGATGATCATGATGGTCCCGTCTGGTCTCCAAGTCTATGATTCTATGAGTCTATGATGCATGCCGAACAGTCTGTTTTTCCCAGCCAAAGATAGGAGTTAGCTGGGCTGAGGGAAATTTACAAAAGCCAACAAGGAAAGATGAAGGTGAAGAAAGACCCAGGGGTAGAGGCCTTTTTGTTTTTTTTACCCTTTACTCTACGTGTTTTGTATCTTTAGGGGAAGGAATAAAAATTCAATAAATAATGCTTTGTTTTGAAGACACTGTTTTCCAATCACTTTAATCAATTTGCTCGGCACAGGTACCAACTGAAGCTGGGCCTGTGGCATTAATATGGTTGGGAAACCAGAGTAGTTGGATCATGTCATACTGCCCAGTGTGAAGTGCAGGAAGCTAAGCATGTCCTGTAAGGGGTGCAGTCCAGAAGGACTAAAAGGGGCTAAGGTGCAGATCACTCTGTATCCATTACAGGGTGTTTCTAATAGGGTCCTGCAGAGATCTATTATTAG